TTTGCTCAGATTACCAGATAGAATAAGCATGCAAAAATTGGTCAAAAATTAAGCATTATTGTTTTTTTCCACAAACCAACAGAAACCAGCAACACAATGATTCCAGCCATCCTGCGCACAGATAGATAGATAGATAGATAGATAGATAGATAGATAGATAGATAGAGAGATAGATAGAGAGATAGATAGACAGACAGACAGACAGACAGACAGACAGACAGACAGACAGATAGATGATAGATAGACAGACAGATAGACAGACAGACAGACAGACAGACAGACAGACAGACAGACAGATAGATAGTACATTCTTTTTCTATTCTCTAGGGACCAGGGATCAAGTTCGGGACCTTGTGCCTGAAAGTCCCCTAGTCTATATATTGTCAATGTGCACTACAGCACTGCTAACTCTGAGTGCATGTTTGGCAGCAGATCTCTGGAACTTACTTAAATCATGTCACTGAGATGCTGGCTGTACTGTAGCACATTTTGTTTGTTGATTTACTCAGTTTGAATCCTGGGGATTGAACCCAGGCCTCTGCCCTGAGCTACGTGCCCAGCACAGGATCTGCCCATCTTTATTGGGACCTGGTCTCACACTTGGAGTCCTCCTGCCTCAGCCTTCCACAGTCCTGGGGTGACACACAGGTGTCAGAGCTGCTGGATGAACACTTCTGCACTTCTCACAAGCTTCGCTTATTGTAAATTTTCCAGCTTCCTACTCTGATACTGCACATCTGAGTCTATCATAGAGCTCACACGTAGGGTTATTTGCCTTATTTGCCCTTTGATTATTTCATTTCATTTAGCATAATATTCTGCTCCATCCATATTATTGCATATTGTAGGACATCCCTTATGAGGCTGATATGTCATCACTTATGCAAGGTACATTTATTTGCTCATTCATAAGTTGTACATATTTAGGCTGCGTATAGCTCATTTCAAGAGTTAGCGCAGTGAATAGGAGAATAATACCTCTGAGAGATTCCTCAAATACTAAAACTTTTACCTAAAACCCAGAAATGGCGTGCTGGTTCCTATAATAAATAAATCAAAATTGATTTTAAAATGTCCTAGACAATTAGTGGACAAGCTCCAGGCATGTGACTGTGTATTCCGATGGCTCAGCAGTAATCTCCGGTGACTTTGCATCTCTCGAGATGGGCTCTAAAATTAACAACGTCCATAAATTGTGCTGTAACTGCAATATTCAGAACCAGGCACTCCAGAGAGGGATTTTTGTTCCAGGTAACAAGGACTGACTACTTCCAGGTCTGTTGTGTCTTATCAAAATCTAAAAGCTGGGCCCAATTTGCAATGGCTTTGCCATTTGGGATAAGTCATCATTCCCAAATCAGTTTCTGTACTTTCTACCACTTTATAATGCTTTCAGAGCAATGAAACCTCGTTGCTCTTCATCTGAAAATTTGAAAAAATGTCCTAACGTTGGAAGGATAAACCACTTTGGAAACACACGTCATATGTGTGCATAGAAAGTTTTTGATGTTGCATGCATGTAATTTTGGACTTAGAAGATGATAGAACTGAGAGGAGATTTATTTTGAGTAAAAAGATACAGGAGAGTTAAGGAAAATGCTAACACAGCAGGGATTCAGTGTCTCGATTTGATCTCTTTTCAGTTACTTAGCTATGAAGTGGCTCTGCTTTTTGACTACCTTAAGTATGTGAATGTTTCTTATTATGTAAATAAATCTGAGAATGAGATCCATTTTTTATATCATCCTAAGGGAAAAATTTTTTTCTTTTATACTGAGATATAGGGATTTATTTTCAGAGTAAATATTTTGTGACAAGTATTTTAATAATGATTTGATGTTCATTTGCAGTGACATCAGAGTAAATTTTTCTGACTACCACTGCTTTAAAAATAAACATGATTATTCAATAATAGTCTGTGTATTCTGAAAAGGAATCACTATTAATCACCAAACTTGATAAGTAAAATTTATTTATCTGTTTTACATGGATGTTTACACTTTATTATCATGTGTATATAGTTTTGTGATATTTCATTATTAACAACCATGTCAAACTAACATCAAAATGCATTTACCCTTTTGCCTCCTGTGTTTTTGAAGGTATTTGTGAGTTAGGCTTGTATTTGGTATTAGGGTGATGTCTGAAAGGGCCGTGTAAGAGATTACATGCCGAAATCACGTAGGGATCATCTTACGTGTGTTCCAGGCAAGTGAGCTTCAGCTTGCTGTGCAACATGAACTTGGATGCATTTTTTGCTGGCTTATAACTCAAGTTCTGCCGAGCCTCATGGTAAGGTTCACTCAAAGTGTGTCATTTCTATTTCTTTTTTTAAAAAAATGGAAAATTGTGCTCACAAGCTTTCATACCCATTGCAGTTAACTGACCTTAACACACAGTGCTCCCATTCTGCTATGCTATGTTTAATTTCTGTATTATCAGCAGTTTAGATGCATTTTGTTTGCTTTACACATCCTTGCCTCTGTAGTGTGCTGTGAGGTATTTGGAAGAGGTCCTCATGGTATCTCACACAGTGGATTCCAAAATACACTTAATGATCTGTGAATATAACATCTTCACTCTACCGTGTTGTGTCTGTGGTATTGTATAGCATGCTTCTTGTTTTAAAATCCAAACCAACACCCACATTTTGTTTTTGTAACTCAGCATCAGAATGTCAGTTACTGGCATTTTTTGTTGTTTTTGGGATTTGAACTCACAACCTTAAAGCAGCTAAGTGCTATACTGCCAAGCTATATCCATGGCCATACTTCCTATTTTATAAAAATATCTGTGTAAATTATTACAAAATTTATTTGAAAATGTCAACATTGTTTTTTATAAATTACACCATGTTGCACTGAAGAGAATTTCATGGAACTTCGATTTCTAAAACCAATTCTAAGGACCCATCTTTTTCCTAATTTGTACTGAGTTCTTTATAGTTCCCCAGGTTTTGGCAAGACATAGGTCATCTGATTTACTGTATTCAAGTATTTGTATTTCAGTTATAATAAACATAACCAAAAGGGAAGAGTATGTACAGTAATTTTATGTAAAAGCATATTATATTAAGTGTCATCAGATTAAATATTAGCAATAGTAGAAAAGTAATAAAAGAAAATATCACACCGATGATCTAAAATATTTGTGGATTAGGAGGAGTAAGGTAGAAATTGATGTATATTTATTTTATATAAATAAATACAAGTGGAAAGAAAACATTTTTCAAGAGCGTTAATATAACCAATAAAAAAACAAAAATAGACAGATACGGTTGGTCTATGAGAACTATTTCTAGAAAGCCTGCACATACTGAGACAATGATTATTTCAATTAATACCTCAAGGACATGTGTATGTATATGATCATACAGTTTGAGAGGTATTGTTACTGCAAAGTAAATTTTCTAGGCCTCGTTATCTATCTGCGTACGGGGAATTTTCAAGCTTGGAAAAAATCATGCATTAGGTTATTGTTTTGGAATGTTTATTGGATATAGTATACATTTAGTAGCTTGACTAATGGCAGTAGTATCTACTTTCTAATAATAAAAACAAAACCATGGCTGACAGTTAATAAGATACTTTTGTGAATATAATTATCTATAATGAGAAGGAGTAATGTTTTGATTTACATATATATATTCATATACAGTACATATAATTTTTGAAAAAATTATATACGATAGAAACTTTTTAGGAAAATATTCTGTATTAGAAAGTTTCAAGGTACCTAGAGGCCCGGGTTATAGCTCAGCAGCAGAGTGCCTGCCTATCAAGCACAAGGTCATGAGCTCAAGACCAGGAATAAAAATATGAACATGTCTTATTTACCAAATTTAGTTTAATAAAGATCTTACAGGTGATGCTATTTCTGCCTTTAACCATATGTTGATATATATATATATAGTCTTCTGATCACTCTACATGGAGGAGCACAACCTCACAGTGGTGACTGAATTCATCCTGCTGGGCATCACAGATCGTCCTGAGCTGCAGGCCCCACTCTTTGTGCTGTTCCTTGCCATCTACCTGACCTCGCTGGTGGCCAACCTGGGCATGATCGTCCTCACCCAGCTGGACCCCCGGCTGCAAACGCCCATGTACTTTTTCCTCAGGCACCTGGCTCTCGTTGATCTTGGTTACTCTACAGCTGTAGGACCCAAAATGTTGGCAAATTTTGTTATGACACAAAATACCATCTCTTATTATTGCTGTGCAACCCAGCTTGCTTTATTTCTTCTGTTCATTGGTAGTGAGCTCTTTATTCTGTCTGCCATGTCTTATGACCGCTACGTGGCCATCTGCAACCCTCTTCTCTACAATGTCATGATGTCACAAAAGATCTGTTGGATGATGGTGACAATCACCTATCTGTACTGCACATTCATGTCACTTGTAGTCACCATAAAGATTTTTAGTTTATCCTTCTGTGGACACAATGTCATCAGTCATTTCTACTGCGACTGCATGCCCTTGCTGGTCTTACTGTGCTCCAATACACATGAAGTTGAACTGGTAATTACTGCCTTTGCAGCTTTTGATTTGATTTCCTCTCTTCTGGTGGTCCTCGTGTCCTACCTGCTCATCCTCACAGCCATTCTCAGGATGAACTCCGCAGAGGGCAGGCGCAAGGCTTTCTCCACCTGTGGGTCCCACCTGACTGTGGTCACCGTGTTCTATGGGACTTTGATATTTATGTATGTGCAGCCTAAGGCCGGTCACTCCAGTGACACTGATAAAATGTCATCCATATTTTATACCTTGATCATTCCAATGTTGAATCCGTTGATCTACAGCCTGCGGAACAAAGATGTGAAATGTGCTCTTCAGAGGACCTTGAGAAAAATAAGCACTCTCTCCTCCTAAAGGCTGCATTGTAAGTCTTTTTGTTTGTGGATTTGGATGAAAATCAGCTGAGCTCTTTTTGTTTGCTTGTTTGTTTTGTTTTTGTGGATACCATGTATTGAAATCAGGACCTTGTACTTGTCAGGCAAGTGCTTTTTCTACTGAGCTATCTCCCTGGCCCTGATAACCAGCTGTTTACCTTCAGAATATATAACAAGAACAAATTCTCTTAGCATATATTTAAAGGTTAGCATTTGGGCTAGCCAGATAGCTCAGTGGATTAAACCCTTGTTTATGCAGATGCAGGGACTGGTTGGATCCCTGGCATGCCATGTAGGCCTTGCCACTGAGGTGATCTGAGATTGTGACAGAGTCCAGGTATGGTGGCACATGCCTGTAATCTCAGCACTTGGGAGGTTTAAAACCAGAGGATCACTATGAGTCTGATCTGCATAGGTAGACCCTGTAGACACTCTACTAAACACATTTAAAAATGTCTTAGCCTTGTACAAAGCTATAAATCTGACCTTGAACAAAGCAGCTTAGTATTTGCATTCTTTGAAGAGGAGAAAAAAATTTTATGTAGTGATTGAATAAACTCTGTATTAGATGTCTATTGCCTTACTTTTCCACGTAGGCACTTTGATTTTGGAAGACATGACTTCTTGCCGAGCTTTGCATTTTGTGTTCAAAGTGGGAAATCGCTTCCAAACAACGCATTTCTTTTGGGATACCCTGAGGATGAAGGTTCTGTGGCAAGAACAATTTGAAGAAGGCTGAAAAGCTACATGTAATGGGCCTTATAATGGGAAATGGAGTAAAACAATGGTGGGATTTGGGCCCAAGGATGACCATTTTGTTGCAGAGCTGACTTACAATTACAGCGTTGGAGACTACAAGCTTGGTTTCATGGGAATCACACTTGCTTCTAGCCAAGCTGTCAAGAATGCTAGGAAGCTGGAGTGGTCACTCAGTGAAGCTGCAGAAGGAATTATTGAAATTGCAGCTCAGGAGGATATAAATTCTATTTGCAGAATCATGTTCTGTCTTGGTCAGATCCTGTATTAAAAGTAATTCTAGCAGTGTTAGATCTTCAGAAATCCCTGAGCTACTGGCCTGATCTCTTGGGAATGAACATTTATGAACAGGATGAAGAGAAGCAGAGGGCTTTGCTGGGCCTTGCTGAGAGCCAGTGTGAGCTGCAGTTGCAGGGCATCAAAGGCTCAGTTGATCATGCAGCAGCTTTTGGAAGAATTGTCTTTTCTCGTCCCCAGAAAGAGCTGCCAAACTTAGAAGACTTGATGAGAATGGAGAATCAGAGCATCTTAACTCCCCTAGTGAGCCTTGATGCCCCTGGAAAGGCAGCAGTGCAAGTCGTCATCCTGACCAATCCTGGTGGACATCAAATTTGCTTTGCTGGAGAAGAAGCATGTTGAGAACTTTCTAAATGGATCCAGAGGGAAGCAAATTGTTGCATGTTGCAATTGCAGCAGATAAAAGTGATGAGAGGTGTGCTAAAATAAATAAAGGCTTTGGGTTAATGGAAGACATCATGTGGAGCCAGCACTTGTAATCCCCATCCAACACCTGGAATTCCGATGTGTCCGCTTGCGATTAATGTTCTTACTACTTAGTGGTGTTCTGCACAGGCAACGATGCCTGGCTGGTGAAGGTTTGTGTATTTCAATCTTTGAAAGCACTGATATGCTTTAAAAATGAAATCTTATTATCATTGCTCCAAATAAAGGAGAATTACTGCCATAACCTGCACTGTCACTAAATGGCACACTCTAGGTGACTATTAGATTAGTACCAAAGTATTTTCTAGACTAGGGCAGCTCTATGGGACTTTCCTCTTGGTAGAGGATGAAAAGAGTTTGCATTTTGAGTAGTCAGAGAACAGACAGAAGGATTTAAGGATTTAATGTCTTGATAACCTCTAGCTTTGTGCTGGCTTCTTTATAATTTTTTAATCCTCTCAAGAAAGGATCTTAAAATAGCTTAAATTATTTCTTCAGCCTGCAAGAAATTTGTTTTCTCTTTGGTTGTATACCAGTTGGTTTTAATCACTGGAAAAAAATTGTATTTGGTATATTAATTATTAATTTTTTTTAAAAATAAACTCTGCAGTAGACTCGAATATAGTTAAGTTTTGTAAACCTGTGAGGCAGGCAGCAAAAAGTGTGCAGTTCACGGCTATGAGAGAAAACAGCCAACACAAATGAGAACCGCAATAATGCTTTAGCACATTCTCAACGACAATAATAAACACTCCAGAGTCATATGTGCATGAGTCCATGTTGATGAAGCAAAAACAAATCTCTTCTATAAATTTCATAAACTTCTGTGGTTCAGCTTGCACTTGCCTCGACTGTGGCTTCAGGATCTCAGGGCAATGTAATCACAGGAGGGAATCTGGCTTAGGAAATACTCCAGTGCACTTGATCAAAGTGGGATCTTACGATTTCTCATCTATGAACTCAAGAAATTATTTTAACTAAGAATATTTGGCTATGCAGCCATCATAGTTTCAGTACAATACTCCGTTCTGCCTATTCCTGTATGGGTGTGTATGTGTCTACACCAATTAAGATCAAGTTCTCCTTCCTGGCCATTTGCTTCCTCCCCTTTCTAATCTGCCCATTGTGTCTTACTGACTCTCTTCAGCTATTGGATGGTTACCCTTCCTCACTGTTCAAAGAATAATGCAAATTTATAGGTCATCATCTATTTGTTATTAGATTCATACATAAAACATGTACAAAAATGAAGTACATTTCTCACTTTACATTTTGTAGCCAACTTCATCTGTATTTGCTCATGTTAGAGTATGTCATTCTTATAGGGAATGTATCTCATTCTTTTTGATTCATTCTTTGAATCAATTGTGTAGACTGATCGGTGCAAGCCATTAGATCATCTCGTGAGTTGAACCCATGACGTACTGATAATGAGGGTGCATGACATGCATCAATGTACATAGGACTTCTGAGAATACTTCAGCCAAAAACCTCAAGAACTTTCCCACATATCTTCATGGTTTTTAGTATTAATATTTGTAGAATTTTACTTGTATCATGAAAAGATTTATGTGATACTTCATAAAGTATCTGTGCAATCAAAGAAACATGAATAGAAAAAACTAATTGGAATAATAAAAGCCTGTTGGTGTCAACACTTCCAAAGCATTCATACAGGGTTTTTTGTTGTTGTTGTTTGGTTGTTTGTTTGGATGGTTGGTTGGTTGGTTGGTTGATTTTTTTTTTTTGTGTGTACTGGTTATTCAACTCAGGCCCTTGCACTTGCCAGGCAGGTGACTTACCACTGAACTCAACCCTGGTAATAAACCTTATTTCATAATAAGCATGAAAACATTATATGTCCACTTGTTTACCATTTATCCATGTGTATACATCAGAACACATTTTCTTATAGGAGTAAGTTAGAGATAAACAGCACAGGTTCATAAAATACTTAATTGGTATTATAATTTACTTTAAATGTTTTACCAAGTTAAAAGCAATAAATAATTATGCCATTTAAAATACAGAAAGGGGAATATTTCTAATACTTGAATAATTAATAAAACAATCATAATCTAATAAGGCACTTTTCAAATAAAACGCTGCAAATTCAGATAGTGCCTCAGAAAATTAACAAAACCTGAAAATAATGTGGTGATGTTTACAATTTTGTAACAAACTATTTATTCTATCATTCATTTTACTATTTTTTATTTTTACAAGTCTAAGTTCTTTCCAAAGGTATATATTTCTCTATATAACATAAAAGATTCATGGGGCCGGGGAGATGGCTCAGTGGAATAAGCGCTTCCCTGGCAAATGCAAGGGCATTTGATTTCAATCCCTGGTTCCACCAAAAAATAAAAAATAAAAAAATAAAAATAACATAAAAGATTCAAAACTGAGAGCTAGCACTTAAATTTATTATTTACTAAAACATTTTCTGTCACTGGAATTTCATGTTTTATACAGTTAATACTCAGACTTTTAATTCCCCCCATCCCAGCTGTCCTGCCCTGGCTACTCGCCCTTGCCAGAAGACCACTGGAGAGAGCAGGTAGGCTCTTCCCAACTCCCCAGCTGTCTGGAAGAGGTCTTCTGAGCCTTAGCCATCATTCGTCTCCCTAGGTACAGCTGAAGAAACTGGGAGACTGCCACACAGACCCAAAACCAGGTGTCCAGGAGACTGTCACAGGGCTCAATGGGAGCCTGGGGAGCCCTACCCTGAGATGACCCAACATCAAGAGAGCCTTGCAGAACCTTAGCCTGCACTCACTATCATTGGATCCTTCCTCAGCTATGGAGCGGCGCCCTTTTGTCAGCAAGGTGAAGCCACATTGAACCCCAGAGAGCGGGAGCTTTGGCGAGCCTTCCCTGCCCTCTCACTCTCCTGAGAGCCTTGTTAACCTGCACCCAGATCCTGAACTCCTACCGTCACTGCAGAGTCAGGGAAAACAGTGGGAGCTTTGAAACCTGGATAACAAAAGGAACAAAAGGCAATCTCAAACCTCTAGCCCACCCAAAACAAGTCAATAGAGCTCAGGAAACATTAACCAGAGCAATTAGACAAGAGAGCGAAATAAAAGGAATAATTATTGGAAAGGAAGAAGTGGAACTATCATTATGTGCAGATGGTATGATGCTGTACATGGAAGAAACTTCACTAAGAGACTTGTAGATTTAATAATCAAATTCAGTGGTATAGCAGGATACAAGTCAACATTCAAAAATCAATAGCATTTCTGTACACATAAAATGTGCACACCTATCTGTACTGCACATTCATGTCACTTGTAGTCACCATAAAGATTTTTAGTTTATCCTTCTGTGGACACAATGTCATCAGTCATTTCTACTGCGACTGCGTGCCCTTGCTGGTCTTACTGTGCTCCAATACACATGAAGTTGAACTGGTAATTACTGCCTTTGCAGCTTTTGATTTGATTTCCACTCTTCTGGTGGTCCTCATGTCCTACCTGCTCATCCTCACAGCCATTCTCAGGATGAACTCTGCAGAGGGCAGGCGCAAGGCCTTCTCCACCTGTGGGTCCCACCTGACTGTGGTCACCGTGTTCTATGGGACTTTGATATCTATGTATGTGCAGCCGGAGGCCCGTCACTCCAGTGACACTAACAAAATGACGTCCATATTTTATACCTTGATCATTCCAATGTTGAATCCATTGATCTACAGCCTATGGAACAAAGATGTGAAATGTGCTCTTCAGAGGACCTTGAAAAGATAAGAAATCTCTCCTAAAGGATGCATTTTGAGTCTTTTTTGCTTGTAGATTTGGATGAAAACAAGCTATTTTCCTTCAGAATATATAGCAAGCACAAATACCCTGAGAACTTATTTAAATCCTTGTGCAAAGCTATAAATCTGACCTTGAACAAAGCAACTAAGTATTTGCATTCCTTGAAGAGGAGAAAAAAAAATTAACATAGTGATTGAATAAACTCTGTAGTAGACTAGAGTTAGGTTTTGTAGACCTGTAAGGCAGACAGCAGAAAGCGAACAGTTCATGGTGTGAGAGAAAACAGCCAACACAAATGAGAACTGCAATTATGCTTTGGCATGTTCTCAACCATGATAATGAACTCTCCAGTGTCATGTGTGTACGTGTCTGTGTTTCTGAAGCAAAAAATATCTCAGCTACAAATTTCATAGACTTCCGTTGTTTGGGTTGCACTTTCCTTGATTGTGGGTCCACGATCTCAGCATAACGTGACCACGGAAGGGAATCTGGCTTAGGAAAGACTGCAGTGTGCTTGTTCAAAGTGGAGAGCTTGGGATCTTAGGTTTTCTTATGAGGTCTTATCCTTGAGTCCAAGAAGTTGTTGTAAGTTAGTATATTTGGCTATTTCGCAACCTATAACTTCAATGCAGTACTCAACGCTGCCTATTCCAGTGTGTGTGTGTGTGTGTGTGTGTGTGTGTGTGTGTGTGTGTGTCTACACCCGTTCCGTGAAATTTCTCATTCCTGGCCATTTGATTCCTTCCCTTCCTAATCTGCCCATTATATCTTATTGCCTCTTGTGCTATTGGATGGTTACCTTTCTCCACTGTTCAAAGAATAATTTAAATTTATAGGTCATCATTTGTGTGTTATATTACTCATACATGACATGTTTACTAGAACCAAAGTACATTTCTAGTTTCTTTTCTAGCTAACTTCATCTATATTGTTCATGTGAATGTATCACATTCTCACTAGCATTCATTCTTTGAATCAATTTGATGTCTTACTGGTAGAAACCAAAGATTAACCTTATAAATTGAACGTAACCAAGCTGATAATGACTGTAGTATGTTATACATCAATATATGTGAGATTTTAAAGACTATTTCAGCCAAATCCTCTCTCAAATTTCCCATGTGTATCTTCATTATTTTTTAATAGTTTTATTGAGAAGGAAGTAGCAGTGAGACATTTTCAAAAAAGGTTAGTAGGACTGTTACAATAATTTATACATTGCATATTTTTGTCTTTGTCATAGTTATTCACAGTATTTTTTGTACTAACACTTGCAGCATTTTACTTGCATCATGGAAGGATTTATGTAATGTTTAAAAAATCTTTACAATCAATAAAAATGAATATAAATAATTAGTTAGAGTAATAAATGCTTGTTATTCTCATGTGGAGCAAACTTTTACAAAGCATTTTGTAGTGGATAGCTAGCTGGCGGTCAATTTGCTAACTCAGGTGAATTGAGCTAGCCTGATGCTGGATGTGGGAGGCCCACTTGAGGACTGTTGGCGGCAACCTCAGAGGCAGAGCTGGAGGAGAAGGAGAGGTCGTTAGGGAAGCTATTTGGAGAAGCTTTTGGGAGCTGCTGGTTTTCCTGGGCCGTTCTTCCTGAGGACCTTTTCATGCTGGCTTTCACGTGGAACTTGGCTGCCCTTGTCAGGGGAGCTTAGGACCTTACTTGTCACTAAGGATGGCTGCAGTTCTTTTCAGGGGCACTCTGGTCCTCATCATGAGCACCAGTTCCTCACTCCAGAGGGAAAGACAAGGCACTGCTCAGCCTCACAGAGAAGCTTGTTGTGCTGGCTTTCCTGAAGGGAACTTGGCTTTCCTTACTGCTGGAGGAGCTCAGGACCTCACTGTTGCTGAAGATGGCTGTGGTACCTTCAGGGGAGCTCTGGTGCTTACCTTGAGCATTGCTTCCTGGCTCCAGTGCAGAGCCCCAGCTTGTAGCACAGATGCTTCATTCTGCTGGCTCAGACTTCCTAGCTTCCGCCTCTGACCTTCGGACCTTTCCAGCACAGATCTGGGAAGGGGCCTTGCCTGAGACATTGTCTGGGCTCTAGGCCTCCAGCTGGACTTGCGGGAGGCATTGTTATGGGCTCGAGGTCTTCAGTGGACTCCTGCAGGACAGTAGGACCCAGGCTCCAAGCTGGCATCTTGGGTGTTTAGTGCATGGACAGATTTCCTGCACCCCTATATAGGATTTTTTGGGGGGATTCATTATAAAATAATATTATAAAATGTGTCCTGTATTATACTGTTTCCCATGCAAAGACTACAAACCATGACACATTTATGCAGGATTTTGTTTTTGTACCAGGAATTGAACTCTGGCCCTCACACTTATAAGGCAGGTGCTGTGCTTCTGAGCCAAAACCACAACTATACAGTTTACTTTTTTGTTCAGTGTGGCAACATTGTATACCTATTTTTGCTGTTTATTGATATGTATATGTATAAGAATGTATTTCATTTTCTTTTTTTTTCTACAGTTT